ACTAAGAAGAATATATGCAGTGTATTATTTGTTGAAACTGTACTTCCGATTTGATTTGAAACTGTCTCATTGCTATCTGTTTATCAATAAAATTTTGAAAAAGAAATGTTCTCTTTCCAGTTCTCTAGAGCCAAAATGAACTGCTTTCCCTTGGTATAGGGTTTGTGTACAAAATGTGCACACAGAGATGAATTTTTTTCTGGGTTTTTTTTTTTTTTTCCTCTGTGTGCATGTGTGTGTGAGAGAGATAATGATGGGACCCAGAGTCTCAAGCATGCTGGGCAAAATTAAACTCTATACCAGGGAACCTCCCCCTATTATAGCATTGGAAGTTTTTTAGGGAAGAGTCTATAGGGTGTTCAGGTTCTCATCACTAGATTGGACTTGTAGAGATCCTCCTGTTTACAGCCTTCCAAGAGCTGGGATTATAGGCTTGGGTCAACACCCCCAGTCTCAATTGATCTCTCATCAGTGCGCCCCAGGGGTGGGACCAGCACAGCATGTCCCTGCGCCTGCTTGCAGGCGCTTTAATCTACTGAGATATTTGGTTCGCCCTTACTGCACTGGAATTGAACCCAGAGCTTTGTCACTTCCCTCAACACTTCTTTAGTTTTTGACACTGGGTCTCCTTGAATGGCTGGGCTTGAACTTGCTATTCTCCTACTCCTATTTCCCAGGACGCTGGGATTACAGGAGTGGGCCACCATGTCAGTCTAAAATTAAGTATTTTAAAAAATAATAGAAGAAAAAAAATGATAGGTGAAACCTGAATTTGTTTACATACTGGGAGGAAACCATCAGCAGGGATGGAGTTCTGATTTGTAAATAAGATATGCGGGTTTACGGAGAAGTCTGGGGAAGGGGGGATGGGGGCAGAGAGAAACATGATCCGTCAGAATAGAGAGGAAGGGGGCTGAAAGTGGATACAGTGTAAGGAAACAATGAAGGGTATCAGTGCACAGGGGTCAGAGGGGTCCCGGACAAATTTTGAAACAGTTGTGGGGAGCCAGCAAAGGTTCCTGATTAAATCTAGGAGCTGAATTTCAGGAAACTTGAATTTCGGGAAGCTTGCTGTGTCCAGGTTTTGCATTACTCATCATGACGGTAGGGTTATCTGTGTTTGTTGCTACAGGGTGGCGGTCTGGGCAGTGAAGGGCTAGAAATTTATTCTACTTCACAAAGGTGTCCTTGGAGAAAGTTAGTTAAAAGGTGGTGGTGGGGTGGTCTGGGTCGGGTCAGGCCGGTGTTGCAGATTATGGTAGGACTTGTAGGGTCCGAATAATTTGGAAAATTATCATTTAAACAAGAGAGACCACCCTCCGGATTGTTCAGTAGCCCAAATTCCTAAAACCTTAAGTTGGGCTGTAAAACCACAGGCCCAGCTTGAGCAAACATCACCTTCCCTGGGTTCGAT